TGTGAAAAGCGCCAAATAGAGGAATAGAGCCCCCTAACAATGTCCCTGAGCCCAGAGGGATATAATATCAGGTCAGGGAGGTCCAGGGGAGAACAAAAGTATAAAACATTTAGGTTAGTACCACTTCCATCTTCTTTTTTGGGCATCATAGAAAGTTTGTTGACAGATTTATTCCTCAGATTAGCTTATGATAGATAATTTATTGTATAGAGGTCCTATATCCCAGTCTTACCAGATCATTTAGTCATTTTCCCTTTGAGCTGCCATAATAGCATTGTACAAGATATAATAACTAATTTCGGAGTTATATTACAGATGGTAGATTTCTACTGTACAAAAGGTGACTATTATTATTATTATTATGATATTTATATAGCGCCAGCAAATTCCCCAGTGCTTTACAATGGGTGGACGAACAGACATGTAATTGTAACCAGACAAGTTTGACACACAGGAACAGAGGAGTTGAGGGCCCTGCTCAATGAGCTTACATGCTAGAGGGAGTGTGATAAAATGACACAAAAAGGTAAGGATAGTATTAGACTAGTGACAGTTGCAGAAGAGGAATCAGTCAGGAGCTATCAACAGTTTAATTGATACGCTTTTATGAAGAAGTGAGTTTTTAACGATTTTTTTGAAGGAGTGGAGACTGGATGAGCATCTAACGGAGGAGGGAAGCAAGTTCCATAGGAACAGTGCAGCCCTCGAGAAATCTTGAAGGCGAGCATCAGAAGTGGGAGTACGGACAGAAGATAGACGTAAGTCTTCAGCAGATCGTAAGGGCCTAGACGGGACATACTTGTGTATAAGGGAGGATAGATAGGTGGGAGAAGCATTACGTAGCAATTTGAAAGCAAGAACCAGAATTTTAAATTGAACTCTATATTTTATAGGAAGCCAATGTAGGGACTGACTGAAGGGTGAGGCATGGGAGGTGCGGGCGAACAGGAAGATGAGCCTCACTGCCGCATTCATTATGGACTGTAACGGCGCAAGTTGGGAGCATGTAAGACCACTGAGAAGCGGATTACAGTAGTCAAGGCGAGAAAGGACAGTGGAATGGACCAACACCTTAGTCGCATCTGGCGTTAAGTAGGGGCGGATGCGCGCAATGTTTTTGAGATGGAAATGACAGGATTTGGCGATAGATTGAACATGAGGCTTGAAGGAGAGGTCGGAGTCAAAGAGAACACCTAGGCAGCGAGCCTGCGTGGTGGAGCTGATGGTAGCACTGTTGACTTGGAGGGAGACAGACACAGGAGTAACAACACTTGAGGGAGGAAAGACCAGGATTTCAGTTTTGGTCAAGTTTAGTTTAAGGAAGTGGGCAGCCATCCAGTTACAAATAGCAGAGAGGCAGTCAGAGACACTAGTCAAGAGGGATGGGGAGAGATCAGGAGAGGACAGATAGATTTGCATGTCATCTGCATAGAAATGATATTGGAAGCCAAAGGAGTTAAGGAGTTTACCAAAGGGAGGCAGTATAGATGGAGAACAGTAGGGGACCAAGGACTGAACCTTGAGGACACCAACAGAGAGGAGTTGGGGAGAAGAAGTAGAGCCAGAGAAAGAAACACTGAAAGAGGTAGGAAGAGCACCAGGAGAGAGCAATATCTTGTAGACCGATATTGCGGAGGATGAGAAGAAGCTGTTGATGATCAACAGTGTCAAAAGCCGCAGACAGGTCAAGGAGAATTAGGATTGAGTAGTGACCACGAGATTTTGCAGCGAGTAGATCATTGGATACTTTGGTCAGTGCCGTTTCCAAAGAGTGCTTAGCGCGGAAAACAAGACTGAAGCCGGTCTAGCAGAGAGTTGGACTCGAGGAAGTCTGTCAATCTCGCATACACAATTCTTTCAAGAATCTTGGATGCAAAAGTAGCGAGATAGAACGATAGTTGGATGGGAAGTTAGGGTCAAGATTGGGCCTCTTTAGAATTGGGGTTACAGTTGCATGTTTGAAAGGCGATGGAAATATACCAGAGGAGAGAGAGAGACTGAGAATTTTAGTGAGAGGTTGGATCTAGGGAGCAGGTGGTGGGGCAGGAGGACTGGAGCAGAGCAGAAACCTCTTCCAATGTAGCGGGTGCGAATGAACATAGAACAGCAGAGGGAGTGAAGTTAGGGGAAGTATTGTAAGGGGAAGAAGAAAGATGATTGATCTCTTCTCTGATTGTAGAGATCTCGTCAGTGAAGTGAGTTGCAAAGTCTGAGGCGGTCAAGTTAGTAGGTGGAGGAGGAACAGCAGGGAAAAGAAGAGAGTTAAATGTGTGAAATAGTCGTTTGGGTTCGTGGGAGAGTGGTTATGAGGGTATTGAAGTAATTAACTACATTTGAACTACATTTCACAGAAACCTTTGCTTTGCTCTTAAAACACTGCTTATGCAACAAGCTCTGCAGTGTTATAGTAAGTTATGAGCATCAGTCATTTTCTGGTTGGGTGAGAGCTCATTTCAGATCTCGAAAACAGCCTAAAGATTTGCAGCAAATCAATTTAAAACAAATGCAAATTTTCAAATACTTTTTATTACATTTTTGCACCATAAATTTTTATGGAGCAAAAAAAACAATGACTGTTGGTGAGATAGATTTCCTTTTTTTTCAAATAAGGTAAAGTTTATGTCTAAGATATGTCTTTGATTCCCTTTTACTGATGAGCTTAAACAGGTCTTGAAAATACCTAAAGTTCTTTCAAAACTTGGCACCAGACCAGGGGCGGACTGAGAGCCTTTGGGGCCCCCGGGCAAAATTAGATCCCAGGCCCTTTGAAGGCCAAATATACGTGCATTAAATAAATGTTAAATATAACTCATAATACGGCATTCCTTTGGATGTGTATATTGTGAAGACCTGTGTATCAATGCATGTTTGTATTTGAGTCTGTGTGAATGCACTTGTGCATGTCTGGATGACTACATGTGCTTTTTTGTATATAGTGTCTGTGTGAATGCATATGTGACAGGTGGAAGGGTGTGGGAGGTTGTGACAGGTGGCAGAGTGAGGGGGTACCTGGTGGCAGAGTGAGGGAAGGAGGGGTTGAGTGGTGGCAGAGTGAGGGGGAGACACAGTGAGTGGGGGTGACTGGTGACAGAGTGAGGGAGTGGGTGACTAGTGACAGAGGGAGGGAGAGGGGGTGACTAGTGACAGAGTTAGGGAATGGGTGACTAGTGGCAGAGTGGGGGAGGGAGGGAAGAGATGACTAGTGGCAAAGTGAGGGAGGGAAGAGGTGACTAGTGACAGAGTGAGGGGATGACTGGTGATAGAGGGAGGGGATGACTGGTGACAGAGGGAGGGAGGGGTGACTGTCACTAGTCACCCCATCCCTCTCTCTGTCACTAGTCACTCCCTCCCTAACTCTGTCACTGTGTCACCCACTTCCTAACTCTGTCACTAGTCACCCCCTCACTTACTCTGTCACTAATCACCCCCTCTGTCCCTAGTCACACCATCCCTCTCTCTGTCACTAGTCACCCCATCCCTCTCTCTGTCACTAGTCACCTCATCCCTTCCTCTGTCACTAGTCACCCCATCCCCTCCTCTGTCACTAGTCACCCCATCCCTCCCTCTGTCACTAGTCACCCCTTCCCTCCCTCTCTCTGTCACTAGTCACCCCCTCCCTCACTCTGTCACTAGTCACACCCTCCCTCACTCTGTCACTAGAGTGAGGGGGTGACTAGTGACAGAGTGAGGGGGTGACAGGTGACAGAGTGAGGGAAGGGGTGACTAGTGGCAGAGTGAGGGAAGGAAGGGGTTACTAGTGACAGAGTGAGGGGATGACTGGTGACCAGTGACAGAGGGAGGGGGTGACACAGTGACAGAGTGAGGGAGGGGGTGACTGTCACTAGTCACCACCTCCCTCACTCTGTCCCTAGTCACCCCTCCCTCTGTCACTAGTCACCCCCTTCCTCACTCTGTCACTAGTCACCCCTTCCCTCCCTAACTCTGTCACTAGTCACCACCTCCCTCACTCTGTCACTACTCCCTCCCTCCTTCTGTCACTAGTCACCCCCTCCGTCCCCTACTCTGTCACTAGTCACCCCCTCCCTCACTCGGTCACCAGTCATCCCCTCCCTCTGTCACCTGTCACGCCCTCACTCTCACTAGTCACCCCCTCACTCTAGTGACAGAGTGAGGGAGGGTGGGACTAGTGACAGTAAGGAAGGGGATGACTAGTGACAGAGTGAGAGAGGGGGTGACTAGTGACAGAGTGAGGGAGTGAGTGGGTGACTAGTGACAGAGTGAGGAAGGGGGTGACACAATGACAGAGTGAGGGAGGGGGTGACTAGTGACAGAGTAAAGGAGGTGGTGACTGTCACTAGTCACACCGTCCCTCACTCTGTCACTAGAGTGAGGGGGTGACAGGTGACAGAGTGAGGGAAGGGGTGACTAGTGGCAGAGTGAGGGGATGACTGGTGCAGAGTGAGGGAGGTGGTGACTAGTGGCAGAGTGAGGGAGGTGGTGACTGTCACTAGTCACCACCTCCCTCACTTTGTCCCTAGTCACTCCTCCCTCTGTCACTAGTCACACCCTCCCTCACTCTGTCACTAGAGTGAGGGGGTGACTAGTGACCGAGTGAGGGGGTAACAGGTGACAGAGTGAGGGAAGGGGTGACTAGTGACAGAGTGAGGGAGGGAGTGGGTGACTAGTGACAGAGTGAGGGAGGGTGGGACTAGTGACAGTAAGGAAGAGGATGACTAGTGACAGAGTGAGAGAGGGGGTGACTAGTGACAGAGTGAAGGAGGTGGTGACTGTCACTAGTCACCTCATCCCTCCCTCTGTCACTAGTCACCCCCCCTCTCTCTCTGTCAATAGTCACACCGTCCCTCACTCTTTCACTAGAGTGAGGGGGTGACAGGTGACAGGTGACAGAGTGAGGGAGGTGGTGACTAGTGACAGAGTGAGGGAGGTGGTGACTGTCACTAGTCACCACCTCCCTCACTTTGTCCCTAGTCACTCCTCCCTCTGTCACTAGTCACACCCTCCCTCACTCTGTCACTAGAGTGAGGGGGTGACTAGTGACAGAGTGAGGGAAGGAAGGGTTGACTAGTGACAGAGTGAGGGAGGGGGTGACACAGTGACAGAGTGAAGGAGGTGGTGACTGTCACAAGTCACCCCATCCCTCCCTCTGTCACTAATCACCACCTCCCTCACTCTGTCACTAGTCACCCCTTCCCTCCCTCACTCTGTCACTAGTCACACCCTCCCTCTCTCTGTCACTAGTCACACCCTCCCTCACTCTGTCACTGTGAGGGGGTGACTAGTGACAGAGTGAGGCGGTGACTAGTGACAGAGTGAGGGAGGGTGTGACTAGTGACAGAGTGAGGGAGGTGGTGATTAGTGACAGAGGGCTGGATGGGGTGACTAGTGGCAGTCACCACCTCCTTCACTCTGTCACTGTGTCACCCCCTTCCTCACTCTGTCACTAGTCACCCCCTTCCTCACTCTGTCACTAGTCACCACTTCCCTCCCTTACTCTGTCACTAGTCACCCCCTCCCTCACTCTCACTAGAGTGAGGGGGTGACTAGTGACAGAGTGAGGGAAGGGGTGACTAGTGGCAGAGTGAGGAAAGGAAGGGGTGACTAGTGACAGAGTGAGGGAGGTGGTGACTGTCACTAGTCACCACCTCCCTCACTCTGTCACTACTCCCTCCCTCTTTCTGTCACTAGTCACCCCCTCCGTCCCTTACTCTGTCACTAGTCACCCCTTAACTCACTATGTCACCAGTCATCCGCTCACTCTGTCACCAGTCATCCCTTCCTTCCCTCACTCTGCCACCAGTCATTCCCTCACTCTAGTGACAGAGTGAGGGAGGGTGTGACTAGTGACAGAGTGAGGGAGAGGGTGACTAGTGACAGAGTGAGGGAGGGAATGGGTGACTAGTGACAGAGTGAGGGAGGGGTGACTAGTGACAGAGTGAGGGAGGGGTGACTAGTGACGGGGGGTGACTAGTGAGGGAGGGTGTGACTAGTGACAGAATGAGGGAGAGGGTGACTAGTGACAGAGGGAGGGAGATGGTGACTAGTGACAGAGTGAGGGAGGTGGTGACTGTCACGTCACCCCATCCCTCCCTCTGTCACTAGTCACTCCCTCCCTAACTCTGTCACTAGTCATCCCTTCACTCTGTCACTAGTCACCTCCTCCCTCTGTCACTGTGTCACCCCATTCCTCCCTCTGTCACTAGTCACCCCGTCCCTCACTCTGTCACTAGTCACCCCCTCCCTCACTCTAGTGACTGAGTGAGGAGGGGTGACTAGTGACACGGGGGGGTGACTAGTGACAGTGGGGGGAGGTGACTAGTGACAGGGGGGGTGACTAGTGACAGGGGGGGTGACTAGTGACAGGGGAGGTGACTAGTGACAGTGAGGGGAGGTGACTAGTGACAGTGGGGAGGTGACTAGTGACAGTGGGGGGGGTGACTAGTGACAGTGGGTGGGGGAGGTGACTAGTGACAGTGGGGGGGGTGACTAGTGACAGTGGGTGGGTGACTAGTGACAGTGGGGGGGTGACTAGTGACAGTGTGGGGGATTAGTGACAGTGTGGAGGGTGACTAGTGACAGTGGGGGGTGGGGGAGGGGGGGGTTGGTGCCTACCTGCATCTCTGCTTCCTCTGCTCTCTCCCAGGCTGCTGCTCCTTCCCCTCGCTGGGCTCTGTGTGAGAGGAGAGTACAGGAAGTGATGTCACTTCCTGGCCCCGCCTCTCCCATCACACAGAGCACCGCGCGGGACAGGAAGCAGGAGACCTGGCAGAGAGGGAGAGGAGGTTAAGCTGCCAGGTCTCCATGAGAGGAGGGGGGGGGTGGATTTAGAGAGCATTAGGCTGTGGGGCCCCGCGCTGCATCAGGGGCCCCACAACCTATCATTTAAATAGTTTTATTTTATTAATTTTACAGTTCCAGTTGGAGAGATCTCTGATCTCTCCAGCTGGAGCTGTGCGGCCGGGCCCCTGACTGCCTCGGGCCCTCGGTCCATGACCGATATGCCCGAGTGGTCAGTCCGCCCCTGCACCAGACACTTTAAAGAAACAGTTGGATTTTATAATTTTAACTGAGGAACTGAGGGTCAAGAAAATAAGATACAGGTGGGGGTTTGCGGTTAAACTCCTCGTGAGCTATGAAGGAAATGTTATGACTATAAGTTCACCAGAAAAGGGCCAGGATTAGTCCGAGGATCTCAGGGTTCCCAAGACTCAAATAAAATAGAGGAAAAAAGACTAACAGATGCATAGATGCATTGTCATTGAAAACAAATGCAATTTAAAATGGGATTACACTTTTATTATTTAAATGTAACATTGTTGTATATTTTAATGCACAATCTATGTACGGTTGTAACAAAAATGATTCAACCCCCGATGAAAGTTTTATTGTCAAAATGTACAGACTTTCAGCTATTTGCAATGAACAAATCAAACAAAAGCACTTGAAATTGCTCAATACAATGAATGTTTCAAGTGGTTTCCCCAAATTCAACTGAAAATGAACCTTATTAAGACTTCTCCAGTCTCAAAATTATTCAACTCCCTGAATAGAATCCCTCACAACAGCACAAATATGCAAAATAGGTGTTGTTTCAGGCACAGGTGCTTGAGCTGGAACACATGAAATACCTGAACTGGCTAGGGGTTTAATGAGTGTCGCCTTTGACTGCATGCTAGAAATATGGCGAAGTCAAAAGAATGGTCCTCAAAGTTTAGAGAACAGATCACAAACAAGGAACAGGATACAAAAAGATAGTGAAGACACTGAATGTTCCTAGAGACACTGTTGGAAGCCTAGTTTTCAAGTTCAAAGTTGAAGGAACGGTAGTTACACTACCTGGGTTGGGCAGGACAAGGAAGGTACCAGTGGCTGCAACCAGATCTCTGAGAAGGCAGGCTGTGAAAAACCATTGAATGACTGCAAAAGACCTGCAGTAAGACTTGGTGGCAACAGGCCCTGAGGGTCTAGTGAGCACAATAAACTAAACTACTAAACGCAGAAGGTTTCCACGCCAGATATTCAAGACGTACATCACTACCCACCCAAAAGCACAAGAAAAGTCGGCTCCAATAGGCTCATAATCATAATCATATAAATAAGCCACAGAAGTTTTATCTTATATCTTGTGGAGCAATGAAACAATACTGGAACTTTTCGGCACAATGGATCAGCGGTAATTTTGGAGGAAGAAGAATGAAGCATTTGCAGAAAAGAACACTACCTACAGTTAAGCATGGTGGTGGCACTGTGATGCTCTGGGGCTCCTTTGCATCCTTTGGCATTGGAAACCTACAGCTTGTGGAAGGCAAGATGGATTCATTGAAGTATCAGGAAATGCTAGGAGAAAACATCATGCCATGTGTGAGGAAGCTGAAGCTTGGACATCTTTGGACTTTAAAACAAGACAATGATCCCAAGCCAGTGGCGTACACATGACCCATGGGGCACCGGTGCGAAAATTGATCCATGGCCCCCCCTCGCGCTTACTCGGCGCGGGTCGGGGCCGCAACACATGGCGGCAGGCACCTGGTCGCAGGGGTTGCAGGGCTGCGACCCCGCGACCGCGGTATGCACACACACTTAAAGGACCACTACAGACACCCAGATCACATCAGCTCAATGAAGTGGTCTGGGTGCCAGGTCCCTCTAGTTTTAACCCTGCAGCTGAAAACATAGCCGTTTCAGAGAAATGGCTATGTTTCACTGAGGGTTAATCCAGCCTCTAGTGGCTGTCTCATTGTCAGCCGCTAGAGGAGCTTCCGCGATTCTCACAGTGAGAAGACACTGAATGTCCATACGAAAGCATTGAGTAATGCTTTCCTATGGGCGGTTTAAATGCGCACGCGCCTCTTGCCGCGCATGTGCATTCGGAGCTGAGAGGCGGAGGGATCCCCAGCGCCAAGGGAGTCCGACGCTGGAGAAAGGTAAATGCTGAAGACAAACACACACACTCTCACGAACAGACGCATACACACATTTACTGACAGAGACACACTCAGTGACAGACATACATACTCACTTACAAAACATACACTTTCACTGACACACACTCACTAACAGACATCAAACACACTCAGTAACAGACACACACAGTAACACACTCACTAGCAGACACACACCCAATAACAGACACACTCACTGACACAAACACTAACACACACTAACACTAACACACAAACACTAACATACACACAAACACTAACACACACACACACACACAAACACACTAACACACACACTAACACACACATTAACACTGACACTAACACTCACGCTAACACTCACACTAACACTAACACACACAAATTTAAAAAAAAAATGTAATCCCCCTAGCCTCCTTACCTTTTGGAGAGCTGAGGGGATTCCCTGGGGTCCAGTGGTGCTGCTGGGTGGGCGGGCAGTCTGGGTGTCCGGCGCGCGAGGGAGCACTCTCCCCTCAGTCATCTTCCGGCTCCGGTATCAGTGCGGTGCGCAAGGGAGCTGAAGAGGAAGCACTCAGGGGAGAGTGCTCCCTCACGCGCCGGCCACCCAGACAGCCTCTCCACCCATCCGCCGGGGTCAGCAGGACCAGCCTCGGGGGGCCCTGGGGTGGCCGGCTCCTGGGCCCCCCAGGAGAAGAGGCTGGCCCTGTGGGTACATACCGGGTCGCAGGGGCGGCCGGGCCCCCTGGTGGGCCGGGCCCGGTCGCAGCCGCGACCCCTGCGACCCTGGTATGTACGCCACTGTCCCAAGCATACCTCAAATTTCACCAAAGCTTGGAAGAAGTCCTGGAAAATTCTACAGTGACCATCCCAGTCACCTGATTTAAACCTCTTAGAAAATCTCTGGTGGCATTTGCAGGAAGCAAACCCAAGAATATTACTGAACTGGAGGCCATGAAAAAAATTTCTCTTAAGCTTTCTCAGGAACTCTGCCAGAAGCTGGTGTCTGGCTATGCATCTTGTTTGCAACATGTCATAACAGCAAAAGGGTGTTCTCCCAAGTACTAAAAATGCTTGCCATGAATGGATTGAATAATTTTGAGATTGGAGAAGTCATTATAAGTTGCATTTTCAGTTGAATTTCGGGAAACCACTTGTAACATTCGTTGTGTTAAGTTACCGTATTTCAATAGTTTTTGTTTGATTTGTTTATTGCAAACAGCTGAAAGTCTGCAAATTTTGACAATGGGGGTTGAATAATTTTGATTACAACTGCGTTTTTAAAAAGTCCATCCTGTCCTACGCTACTTTAATTCTTACTTTGCATAGAAACATTCTTAACAAGATCACGCAGGTCTGTTTTCCAGGGAATGATATGGGCATGCTGTTTACTAAACCTGTCAATTTGCATATCTAAGTTCTCACTCCACTGGTCAACAGAAGCAAACATGATTGGTATACAGTGTAACATCTTAGATTTTGGCAGGATGAAGTCAAAATAAATATTTATTAGAATAATGGTTCTTTGATCACTACAACATAGCTCTGTTCCCAGTTAGAGTTCATAAAGTAGACTATTCTGCCAAGATAAAGGTCTCTTGTGTAGGGGATCAATATCTGCTTAGCATCGATTGAGCACATACAATGCAGCAATAGCATTTTATCTTGTCTGTATGGTGGTTATCCCCCATGGAATGGTCTTTGACGTTTCCAAAATCCGTCTTCTTTTTTTTTTTTTTATTCTTTTTCTTGTGTGGATAAAGCATGATATTTACAATATTACATGTTTGGCACTATAATGAACAAACAACACAGTAATTTCAACATGTTGCGGGGACTATCCTTTTTTTATATTTCTAATAGCTTTTACAGCCCTCTCTCGCCTGTTCTCCCACGGGG